TTTGGATTTATAAATTTATAATATTGTGTTCAGCTCTCATATAAAACTGAAAAACATTTTAATAGCTGTTTTATTAACACGAATATTATCTCTCATTGCTTTGGACTGAATCCTTTTTTAAACATTAGAATTATTTGTTCATTGTTTCTTAGATATTTTGAGATACTTTGATTTTCCAACTGCATAATGCTGCATTAATTTGTTATTGCACAGTGACTTCATTCTCTACTCAGGAAAAAATCTACAGCCTAGTTTTCACAAACAGCAGTTGAACAGGCAATGCTGTGTCTACAGTAGTCCACACCACTTAAAGCTGCAGTGGGAAGCCAAATGATTAAATGAGCCTCTATACAAAAACACAGTTGCCTGGATGTTGAGAAATTGCACTTCAGAGACAGCCTTGCTTTTTCTTTAGTAGGCCAATCCTTATCTACATGCAAAGAATTAATTGAAGGAGGTTCAGTCATGTTTATTTCATTTCAGCATTGTTTTCAAAGAAGGCTATCTATGAAGAAATGAATAATGTCTGACCATCTAGAATGGTGATGGCGAACCTATGGCACCTCTGTGTGGGCATGAGCACCATCGCCCCAGCACAGACGAAAAGCTGCCAGAAACGCACCTAAATGAGCAATGGGCAGAACAGGACTCTGATTAATGGATGCGGTTTCGGTTCGCGCCTCCCATTTAAGTTAATAGACAGCCAAGGGCCTGTTTGTGAATGTTCCCCGCTCCTTTCCTTCTATTTTGAAAAACCCTCCCTGCCTTTTTGCTTTTACCACCCGATTCCCTCCAGTAGTTGTCATTTGCTTGCCTTCTTTCAAAAATTACAGATACACAAGGGAATAACCTGTGCGTTGATGAGACCTAATTGCAAAGAATTGTGTGTGTGTAAGACTAGACTAGAGGGATCTTGCACACCGCTCTATTTCTCTGCAGCAATAACAGATCCCTCGCTGCCCACCTTCTCGCCCTGTGCTTGGTCCCCTTGGTGTGTTCTTTTCCTGTGGCAGGATTGTCGCCTTTCAAATCAACCCTTGCAAATTTTCAGCTCTCACCAGAACAATAGAAAGGAGAGGAGGACTCTCTAACTTCGTCCTTCTTTGGTCCGGCTCCTTCCTGCTCTCCTGTGCCATGGTGATCTTTCACACTCACCCCATCTGCCTGCCGCATTTCCATCAAAAAGAAAAGAGAGGGGGAGCGAAAGAGAGAAAGGGAGAGAGGAGGGAAGAGAGAAACAGAGGCAGAGAGAGAGAGAGAGAGGGAAGGAAAGAGAGAGGGAGGGAAAGAGAGAGGGAGGGAAAGAGAGGGAGGGAAAGGGGGAAAGAGGGAGGATGGAAAAGAGAAAGACATAGGAAGGGAAAAAGGGGGAGGGAAAGAGGGAGGGAAATGAAAGAGAAAGACAGAGAAAGAGAGACAGAGGGGAGGGAAAGAGAGTGAGAAAGAGAAGGGGAAAAGAGAGAAAAACTTACAAAAGTTTTTCTTTTTTATTGTTGCTAAATGTAATATTTCAAAAGCAGAAAAAAAATGAAGTAGCATAAAAGTGCATTTATCACGTTCTTATAACAACTAGCTGAACCTGTTTATCATTATTTTATTTAGTGAGACCTCATTATTCAGGTTAAATTGTCGTGTTGGCACTTTGCGACAAATAAGTGGGCTTTGGGTTGCAGTTTGGGCACTTGGTCTCTAAAAAAGGTTCGCCATCACTGATCTAGAATCTCTAACTTTATACATATTCATCAATGCCAATTATTACGATGTTACAATCATCAATCATGTGTGAAACCCCTTTCCATTCTTAAAATAGAAAATATTTGGTCATGCTACTTGGGATTTCTTTCTGCAGGTAAAATGCTTTGCAAGTGTCATGTTTAATTTCTTATTTTAATCTTGCAAGAATCTTTGAACATCATACTTTGATGAAAAGCATGTAAATCCAATAATACTTAATATAACGTATCTATGAAGATTCTGAGTCATCCAGATCATAGTTGTATCAAAAGTGGTTTTTATTTTTTGAAAAGGTAACTGGACTGATTTTTTGAGGAAGTCTTCTTCCTCAAAAAAGAAAAATAACAGTCCAGTTTGCCTTTTCAAAAAATAATTTTGATTAATGCAAAATACTTAAACATAAATTTTAAAGTCATGTCAATCTAACTTTGTTTCAGGTGAATACTTTATGGTAAAATGAAGTGGCAGCAGTTCTCATACAAAGACTATATTAACTGATGCATAACTATCATTGCAGCAGACCTGTTTTTTTTTTGGGGGGGGGGAGGAGGAATGACTAATATGTTGTTCTGAAGAAGTGCTGTTTTCAAGCATCCCAAAGTAAGTCTTCTGAATAATTACTGAAGTATATTCTACACTACTATTTTCTTCAATAAATGTAAGGAAAACCTATATCGGCTAGACCTAGCAGATTAAATCAACAGCAAAAAGTTATAGAAGATTCATTAAATATCATTAAACAACTAAAAAGAGTTTTCTCTGAAAATCCAGCTGCTTTCTTTTATTAATTTTCCACTTTGAATTTAGCAATTTCATTATCACACTTCTGGATCAATCTACAAAAGAAAAAAAGTTACAGTATCTTAACAAATGAAAACATCTATATTTTCTTTTCTCTGTATGAGACTCTTTCTCTGAGAGTCTTTTTGCCATAAGAAAAGTAGTGATGACAAATATAAATATAGACAATGAATTGCTAATTCTTTTTGTTAATCCAACAGACAAAAACTTTTTAAAGTCTCAGTAGATAGATAGACAAACATATATAGAGAGAAAGAAAGACATACACAAACACACACAGACAAATATATGTGTGTGTGTGTGTGTGTGTGTGTGTGTGTGTGTGTATGTATGTATATATATATATGTATATGTATATAATGAATGTGGGACTATTACACAGCAACTAATGATTTTAGCAAGTTATCATTAACATTAATAAATTTACATATTTACATTAATAACGCATTAATAGTATTTAAATTAGATTTTATGCATGGAAATAGTGGCTTCCCAGTTCTACATCAAATCTTGAAAAAATCCAATAAAAATAGCTGTGCACTTTCTCATTTACTTCCCGCTGACAAAAATTTGCAGGCTTCTTAAAATAAACATAAATCAACTATAAAGCCTCATTCATATGGTCTATGGAGTCCAGTTATACTTTAGTTTAGATAAATATTTTATATAGCAAAATTTCAATAAACTTGCTATTCTCCCTTTGTTATCGGTACATATCCCTGCAAATACTACTGAGTCAGTTCACAGGGTCCAATATTCGGCCTTGAATAGTAACCACTGCAGGACAACTTCCTGGTATGAAAACATAAAAACCATGTAGCAAGAACAATTAAGTCAATGTTTCCTCCCATTCCATCTTCCCATGGCCATCAGTGAATGAATCAATCTACACAATCTACTGAGTTCTTGTTATACAAATGCATCATTTCCCAATTATTTCAGTAACATAGTTACTCATAGTAAGACCAGTTTCTTGGTAAAATTCCTCAGGTTAACAGAAAAAAAAGTTTAATTGCCAGAGCTCCGAGTATATGTATACATATCAAAATAAATTAAAGCAAATATTTTCCACCATTTACTTTTAAACGATTAATTGTAACATCTTTAACAAATCATAGGAATCCTCCATGGATTTAATCTCAATATACAAGATATGGATTATATTTTACATGAATATAGAACACATATACAGAAAACAGATTAGGAGAGGGAAAGACACAGGAAAGGGATTTGGAATACTTCATTCCACTTCATGGACCCAGGGGAAGAAAGAGTCTTCAGCAGTATGCAGATGAGAGCCCTGCACTGTATCACTAGCTACTCACCAATGTTTTGTAACCAGGTCAGCTAAGCAAGCATAAACTCAGCAAGCGTGTGATTTTCCAAGCCTACGGTTCCTCTGAAGTTCAGGGACTCGGATTTGTTCAGAGAACAGGTATTCGTATACCATTTCTTTCTCTTAATCTGATTCCAGCTCTTCAAGAAAATCTGGGTGGTTCTTTCAATCTGTTATAGAAACTTGAAAGATACCTCAAAGAACTTCTGAAATAAGCAAAGACTGGTAAGGATCCCTACCTAGGATCTCAGCTCCTGCATCGCCCATGATTTACTTCAGCTGGAATGGAGATAAGAACTCAACATGAGATTTTTTCCCCCCTAAGAAGGCTTTAAAAAGCAGGGTTTTTAGACTAGGTCCCTCCAATATAGACAATTCAGAGGGGCAGTTAAATTATCCCATTACCTGGGTGCAAAATAAAAAGACCTCCCAGTTCTTAGAAATATGCTTGGAAATATTTACAAGATCATTCTCTTCTTTTTACATTCATATTCATTTACATTCATGAGCATTGATTATATTTGTAATACTAAAGTGATGTTTGCAAAAGGAGAATGAAAATAAGGCAAAATAACGCTCTCTCATAAAAATTGTTCTGCAGTTATCCCATATCTCTTCAAAGCCTACTATGTTATAACTTTTCTTCCTGTGTAAGGCTAACATGGTGCAATATTAAGATTTCAGAAATAAGAGTAGGAATATCAGGAATAATTTAAAGAACGAAGATGGTAGCTGTGATCATGGGATCAAAGTCTGTGCCCCTTTTTAAGGGAGTGACATATGCAATGTATACAAAGTGGATACAGGGCTTTAATCATGCAACTGTAGCCACCATCTTGATTTTTCAACATTTCCACCCCTCCAATAGATGTCCATGAGTGAGTGTTTCTGAAGACAAGTTGAAAGGCAAAACTTTTTGACCAAATTGGAATTATGACATTCCTTTTCCTACCTATTGATATGTCATTTTCACCCTTTTAATCAGACAATACACTCACAAATATTATATCTTTTTAAAATTTCTTTGCTGAATTTTTATGAAAGTAAAGTATTTCTCTTCAAATATCCGCATATGGTCACAATTGATTGTTATGTATTATGTTAAGTTAATAATTTATACATCAGCACAAAGGATAAACTTTATTTTTATTTCATTTGTCATAATATATTAGCAATAAAAATACACAAATAATGGAATTCTTAATCATGTAAAATGGTCGTAAAAATCAAAACAAATTTACAATATTTTTTTCCAAATATTACTTCATCCTGCATGTGAAAAGTCTTATTTCTTCAAAGCTACAACTGCATAGCATCTGGGGGATTTTATGGCATCAAATAACTTTACCAGTCCAGACCAGGCAATGTTGTCCTGTAAAATAATATTTGATCAGTAAATATAAAAAAGATATTAACTTGAGATTTAGCAATTCATTGAAATCTAAGGTAAAGCCTGTGTTATAAATAAAACAAGACAAAACTTTTCAAAAATGGTTTCTTCTGGTGCTGCTAGACTCAACTTTTTTGCCACCAAAGACTAACATGACTTTCCTCCAACATAAACTTTGCATATGGAGAACCAAACTGGGGACTCAATACAATAGTAGTAATATACCACTATGTATTGAAAATTCAAATAGCTTTTAATTTCAGCAGTAAACCAGAACTTCAATATTCTCAGATGGAGGCGGGAAGAGAGCTGATGTTGCGACGGCACGACGTGCAATCTCGGTGCTCCGAGATTGCAGTCAAATTTATGCCACTGGACAGTCCATTTGAACCTAAACTGTCCTGCAGAGATGGTGATTGAGAAGGGCACCTCCAGGAATAGCCCTTTTTTTCCAGTGACAGAAACGCAGCTAATGAAGCTGCTGAAATTGGAAGAAAGCAGAAAGAGAAAGTGTGTCAAATTGGTGAGGAAATTTTATTATTAGAGGAAGAGACTACCCAAGAAAAAAAATTAATTTAAGATTAAAGATAGAAGACTGTAGGCAGAGAGATTGATCTGCATTGAACTTAGTATGTTATCCAGTTTCTTTTTCTTTTTTTACAGATGGAACTTTTGCAGGGGCTCCCTATTTTTTAAACTGAATGAATTAATTCTTTCTTCTTCTTTTTTCTCTTTTGCTTACACCTACGGATTAAAATTCTTCTTTTTTATAATGCTTGATTTGATTGATTGGGTTGGTTTTGATCTCCATTTAAGGGCTTTTTTTTCTTTCTTAAGCTTGAAATATAAAGAAGATAATAAGAAGGCTTATAAAGTGGGTTTTAACAACAGGAGGAAAAGCAGTTACACTGCCACTTAGAGGCTGGCTACATTGTTTTTTCTTCTTTCTCTTTGATCACTTGAGATTCAAGTTTCTTTCAGTTTGTTTACTGACAATGATAGTAGGAAGAGCACAAGTTGTTTATACAGGTGCCTTCTATCACTAGTTATTGGAGGGAAGACAACATTTTGACTTGAAAGATAATAAATGAACCTGTTTGAAGTTTATTAAAATAGCCTTGAACCCTATAGTGGCAGTTTCTGCAAAATTGAAAGAATGGTCCAGCAGGAAAAAGAAACTGTAACATTGCAAATGATTATGTTTGAAATTCAAAATCTATTAATTGTGACAGAGAGAATTGAAAAGAGATTGGAGAATATGGAATACAAAACAGAAAAATCTGATGGAGAAACTGAGGATGTTTACCAAATGAAGAAAATGGGACAGAATTCAAAAGTCCATGCAACATATTTGAAGATTGTTAAAAAGCAAAGCAAAATTGGACAACCTCTGGAAAAGTCTAATGGTCACTATTCACAATCTTAAATAATAAGATTGGTGTAAAACCCTTTATTGGTTTCAACTCAAGCCAATAGAAAATATATTTACAAATATATCACAAATCATGTAGCATAAATCCCAAATAGTCATGAATCAAGTAGAATGAATCTTGTCAAATGTATTTGACACAGAAGTACAATCTGTAATACACAGACAGAATAATAATCAATGTTCTTTAACTTTAAATCCTTAATTTAGAGTAATCAGTAATTCACACAATAATTTTACAATCACTTAGTAAAAATTATCTAGGATCCACAACGTATAGAAATATTTTTGAAACATAAATATAGGTCTTTAAAGAAAACAGTTGCACAAAAGTCATTTACTGTTTCAAGCATTAATAATTAAGTTTCCTATGTAGGCAATACCACTTCAATATTACTGCAGTTAAAATACTGCAGTAATTTAACATGCAATTTAAACTACATAAAAACTTTGTTACAGCAAATTTTCCCAAAATAAAAACATTTGCTGTTAAATGATGGATATGATAGATTGGACTTTAAAATTTTGGCAAACAGACATAAACAATTATTTGTTTCTTTAATATGAAGGAGACATGATTTGCTTCAAATACTTTAAAAATAACCTGTATCATGGATAAATCCACCAAGACTTGCCTGTTCTTTGAGAAAGCAGAGACGATCTAGAAGTATCAACACCTCTATGCAAGGTCCTAGAACAACTTTCAGCTGAAAATTTAAATACAACTGAATCACATTTCTAAAACGCATACTCAAGAAGAGAGAAATACTACCTACAACACAGATTTACATTTCTTATTTAAATATTTGAAGGTAAACTCTCGTATGATCTCATTACTTCAAGGATATTAATTATTAGAAACATATGAATCAGTTCCAATCCATTTCAAAATGTTGATCTCATTTGGATTGTTAATTTAATTCATAAAAGCAAGGCTATTTAAGAAAGGGCTTTTAGAAATAGATAAAAGACATTATATTCTCAATTAGACTCGAAAAGTTTAGTTGACTGGGAGAGTCAACTGAATGACTTTTTCATCAAACCTCTCCAAAGGATACTAAGCGGGATTTTCAAAGTGGCTAGGCCAAAACAATTTTAACTGCTGTCAAAAAGATATATTTGGTAAAGCAGGGTTTAGCAATAATTATTAACTGTTTAATGTAATCATGTAAATGTTGTACAATTACCATATTTTGTGACTGCACATAAAAACATCTACATTATTTTTGTTTCAGGAAAATTGCTGAAATCATTTTTGGCATTTATTGTTTTACTACTGAACAGAAAATTGCATTTCCTACCAAATCTATTGAAGAACATGGAATATTTATTTTTAAAAACAAACTTGCCAATTCTTGCCAATTCCATTTTATTGGACATCTTTAAAAAAGCAGCATAATCGTGAACAAAGTCTATAAAAAGTATTAAATATGGTATCTGTTACCTAGTATGTCTGAGGTGTAACTCAGCATGAAAAATTAAGTGGCAGCAATTTTGTTCAAAGTTGAACAAAGTAATGTATTAAAAGGAGAACAAAACATTCCTAACATTTATTTGACTAGGAAAAGAATCTTCATATGTTCTCAATGAATGTTAATATAATTTTGGAACAGACTATGCTCCTAGTTAAAGATTATTTGAATTGTTTCCTTCTTTACAGAAAATATCAAACACAAACACTTACTTCATCATAAAATATTAGCACAAGTGTTATTCATGCCATGCTAGCAAAAATATCCCAATATTTCAATGTTACCATATTAAAAGCTTCCAGTTCATTCATTCTGTACTTGTATTTTTCAAGGTATTCTAATACGAGGCTGTCTGAAATCTGCAACAGCAAGAACATTGGTGATGGCAACTAACATTTGTCTCAGGCATATGCTAAAATTATTTTTATAATTAAAACAGTTCAAAAATAAAGCAATTATTTTACAATCAACAATTTCTAATTTATTATAATGGCTTCTCAATTTTTTTCGGAATGATATAACAATATATAAGGAACTATATTTAAAGTGTTCAAAAAACAGTCCAGTTTTAGTATCTGAAAATATATCAGATCAGATCATGAAGACATTAATCTGTGAGCATTTTTAAAACATGCAGCAATTATTACAAATCAGTACAACTTTATCAGTCTTACCAAAATGTTCCCATGTCACTATTTTTTTAAAAAAAAAATCAGGTAATTTTCTGAATATTCAATGAACATAGTAATAGTAATTTATAAACTGAGTATGAAACTGAGTATAGCATGACTGTAAAAAAAAGGAAGTCCAATTTTGTCACATTAATAGAAGCAGAGTTTCTTATTAAATGCTTAAATCAACAATCAATTTGAAAATCTGTGGCTAGACCTCAGTGCCTGGTTAGATTCATGAAGCACGAATAGTGATAAAATTGGTGCAATGAAAGTATTTGCTGTTTTAACCATTTACCTGTACTACCTCAGAGCATATACTATATATACTGTATAATTATATACATAGTTTTGAAACTCTTTTTCAGTGAATAACTGAGATTCAAAACTTAAAAATTAAAAGCGAAGAGCAAAAAGCTTTCATGCAGTGATCCAATAATAACAGTCAATTAATGTGCTGCTGTTCCATCTCCATCTCTTAATTAGCACTGATTTTATCTGGAAATTATACTTTTAGCCAAATTTCTAGGTTAGAAGTAAATGATGGTTTACACCATCTACATTTTTAGACATAACTGATCTGCTCAAACATAGAGATACAGAAAACAAGTCACACAGGAAGTAAAGAACATGATGACTGAATCCATTCTTCTTGGCCATCCAAGAACTGTCCACTATGCCTAAACTAACAGATGTAAACTTCAATGAATGATCTTTTCATGCAACTATATAATACCTTCTAAAGAACTGAAGGAGAACCTTGTATCTCCAAATTACTAAAGCTTTAGAAAGGTTACATGCAATTTTTATCAAGAAGTTGACATAATATGTTCACATAAAAGAGGTCATCAACTTTTAACAGTGAAAAAATACCAATAATAAAAGTCTATGCTTATTTGATCTTGAATGTTTATCTATCAGAGATTTGTTCCTTCTTCACCAACACCTTACTAAATTTTCAGTTTGCTTACTTTAAACTGAAGCCTGTAGTTTGTCAGATGATTTATGTAGCTATTACAGCTGTTAAAACTGTCAGATTAAACTGAAATTTGGCACTGGAATCATGAACATTGAATGTTAGTTTATATTTAAAGTACAGCCATCCTTGAAATATTGCATAAATAAAAGATTTTACCACAATGCTATCAGCCTTTCATAATCTCACTTGACAATGGAACTACATTGTCTTGTCCAAAAACGCCTGATAAATACTTTTACTGAAACGCTTATTATAATTTAGATTAGCTATTTGCATTAAAACTCAAGCTAACAAGAAGCAGGCAAACCAAATTCTAAACAGCTGCAAATAATTTCATACTAAAGTTTTCTTGACAATAGGTTCCACTGAATTTGACTAGGCTTATATCTGAGTAAACTATTGTTAGAATTGCACCATTGCTATTGAAAAAAAATTCACCAGCAAAAACTGAAGTTTTTTTAAAAATTGCAGCTGTTTCTCATTAATTAGTTGTAGAAATGTACAGTATATGAATGTGTATATAAAATACTGTGCAGGACCCAGTTTAAATAAAGTAGACATACAGTAATTCCTGCTGAAAAGCCAATTTGTATCTTATATACTTAATAAAAGCCATTGTTACTGCTGAGTAAGCAGACAAATAAGTGGAAGATAAAAACATTTTCTTCCCTGAGATTTCATCTATTCCCTGAATTTGAGATAGTTTTAACATATAGTTTTAAAAAATGTCTAAGTAGTGTACAGGTATGAAGTCTAAGAATATGTGACTATTTTAGTTATATTCACTTTGGCTAAATACTAGAAGGCCAAAGATGTATCAAGACATTTCATCATGAATAAATGATGCCATCTGTGTTCTTTAATAGTCATTCCAAATGAGAAAAAAAAGGAAACGTTGCAATGATAGATCATCCTTATGGATCATATAATAAGTTGTCTCTTTGGAAAAAATGGAAAAAATGGAAAAAATAGACTTTCCGACAGGGCTAGTGAGAAGTTAATAGCTATGGGCATTATTAATATCCATTGTATTAGGGAAATGTGTAGTCCTAGGAGCAACATATTTCTAAAACTCAGGTAGAACTGAGAGAGCTCAATGCAAACATGTACAGATAGATTATTCTAAATACTTTAAATGTTTTAGGACAATCTATGTATAAAAAGAAGTCAACATTTTACAAATATTCTTTTTCACTCTGTAACTACATTTAAAATTTGCAATACCACAATGCATTAAGTCATTACTAAAACAAATGTTGGTATCATAACTTCCTTCATGAATACTTATTCCAATGTGTATATTTTGCATATCTCTTTTTTTAGTAGATCATTTTTCATAACAGATTATGGTAGCAAAACTCATATTCACATCACAGGCTGATAAACTAAAAGAAACATAAGAATTTCCTTTTCTTTAAAATATCATCATACCTGTTTCTTTTTTACTACCATTTATCAAAGTGAATTTACCTGTTTTCTTGTATTTGATATGATCAATTGTCTAATCAATAAGGTACACTATTATTACTGTTACTACTACTACTCTCTCCTTGTGATTTGACAGAGAAGCAGAATGACTTCAAACTGTATAAAAATATTGATAAATGCTTAAAATTTCATTGAATTAGAATACATATTGCACTGGCATGGGGTATGCAATGACCCAACATTTTCTGTAATTGCTGTTGTAGCATCGGTTATCTATAACATTTTACTTTTTAATTACAGTAGATTAAATGCAGAGTGGGGAAATCCTCAGATAAATAGTAATAGAAATAGCACTTCATAGTGCTTTACAGCCCTCTCTAAACAGTTTACAGGGTCATCCTATTGCCCCCAACAACCTGGATCTTCATTTTACCGATCTTGGAAGGGTGGAAGGCTGGGTCAACCTTGAGCCTGTGAGAATCAAACTCCTGGAGTGAGCAGTGAGTTAACCTGCAGTACTGAATTCTAACCACTGCGCCATCACGGCTCTTATAAGCTGTAAATATTAACCTGTTAGAATTTGGCAATGATTATTATATGTAACTTAGATTTAATTGCCAGCATTTGCAAAATTACATGTTGATCTCAACATAATTTATATGACCAAACAAATCACTGAAATATTCTATAGTGGGTTCACTATATGAATTTCAATTTATAACCAGATATTTACCTTTGATTCATCTAGTTCAAGTTTTTTCAAGGAAATTCTAACGTAATCCAAAAATGAAGATGATTTAGAATATACTTTTCCAATATTACGATCACTGAAATGACAAATTATTTCTTTTGTTATTTTTCCAACAGGACACACACAGAGACATTCAGTGCATGAAGAACAATTCTGCAGTGAAGAAAGACTCTCTCTCTCATTCTCATTCTCTTTCTTGCCCCCTCTCTCTACACACATACAGAGAGAGAGAGAGAGAGAGAGATTTAGTACCTGGCCAGTTTTGATAAGTCTGAAACAGATACTAGTATGAAATTCTGGAGAACCACTGCCATTTTCACTCAGTACAAGCTAGCTTCCTACCATTTTATCAGCTAACCTACAGCTGTGCTGATTAAAGGACTGTAGCATTGTATATACTAAAGGCATATATTAGCAGTATTGCAAACTCAGTTTGATGAAGGCAAGTCAAGAAAAGGTCTAGAGAAGTGCAGAACTTCTACACTTGCACAATTAGAGGTTTATGGTCTATGGTTAAGTGTTTACTTAAGGGATTACTTCTCTGTGTTCTAAAACTAAATTCTCAGTCTTCAGTGAGAATGATAATAATTACAACTCTACAGTTCAACCATGAGGCACGTATATTCTCTTCTGGGATAGTACAGAATGAAATCAGATTTCAAAAGGTTAGCTTGTTGACAAAGCCAAAGTCAAATTGACAGATAGATTTTTTTCAAATAGACAAAAAACAAAAAATAGCTTTTCTTTTAGATTTCAACATCAACAAGAAGCAAATGTTCTGTTTATACAACACAATATAAAATTGCAGCATATTACCTTCTCTTGATGCCATAACATTCTTCTACAATAACCTGCAGCACAGCCCGATAAAACAAAGATTCTGTGGGTAGCTAGAACAAATCAAAGAACAAGAAGTAAAGCTGCAACCATACACCACAAATAAAACAGCAACAATTATTGTGTATCTTCAACCAGTATTTGTATTTATTTCATCTAATGTTCCTAGGAAGTTTCTTATTACTAAAATAAAATATTGCTCTGTGAATATATTACTGCCAAGCGGAAAAATAAGCACAACCAGCAGAAAAAGTTGCGCAGAATTGAAAAGAAAGCTATAAGAATGACAAAGCCATCTAGATCAAATTATGATAATAGACATTTAGGTTGGACCACAGAAAATGAACTCATTTAATCTCCCTAAAATCAGGGGAAAATACTTTGCAAATAAGTGTCCTTTTTTTCTCCTTAACAACTTCATCTTCTCTCCTTGGTACAAACAGTACTTTGTTTCTAAAACAATGCAAAGTATTAAAGAATATCTAGGAAAGACTATTTTTAGCCTTCTTAAAATTCAGGGTCAAATCCATCCTATATAAATTCCATCAAGATCTATAGCTTTGTAATAGGAACACAATGGTTTATAAACCTGGAGAACTGAAGACTCAGTTTCTGCACATATTTTAAAAGGGATGAAAAATGATGCAGTACTTATTTACATAAAAGAAATTTAGCTGTTGATTTAAAAAGAAAGAATATTTAGAGTCCTGCCAACATCTAGCATTTGTAGCAAATCAAAGTAAATGCTTCCAAATTTTTACTATTGTTATATTTTCAGAAATGAAAGAATAATATTTTGAAAAATGAATTATTGGGAGTTTTGGCCAAGATTAGGAAGCCATTTCAACCAGTGTGTTTCTGGTTAAATGTTGGAATATGACTTAGATGATGAATAATCTAGCTTTAAATTAATGCTATTTCATTCTAGAAAGAAACATTTGGTAACCATTCTTATGAAAACAGCAGCACCACATTATAAGGAAATACAGGCAGCTCCCCAGTTATAAAATTAGAGATGACAAGCATATTCATTTAAAGAAACAATTTATAAACTTTTACTACATTACAGGAAAATCTGAAAGAATCCAAATGCAAACAATTCACCTTAAGAGATAGCTATTAAATCTCTAGAATATAGGTGTTCTTATATTTGTTTCTCCATGTAACTATATATCTATATTAATAAACATGTACAAGAACGTGTCAAATTAAGTGAGTCTGAACTTATTCCATAATCATTTGGACTTCAGAAACGAACCTGAGTTACTATATATATTCTATTTGAAGTGTTGGCTTCTTTTCTTAATAAGGACATGCACTACAATTCAACACAGAAAATGAACCTGTATGATCTTCTTGGGATAATTATTTAGAAAGAATTCCTAGCCTGAGTGATTGGCAAATTGACACAAGAGTGCTACCAAATAAGACATTCCAATGTAACATAATCAGATAGAGGTCCAATTTCAAAGATCTCTGGAACAGAGAAAATGAATGGAGAACCACTTGCAGGTAAGTCATCTATTCTTGTTGAACTATAAAATACGAATTTTTAAAAGATCAATATAACATTCTTGTACCTTAATTCATTTACTGTTCAAAAATTAAGGGTTTTTTAATATTCAAAATAATAATAATAATCAAATTGTAATACTATACTATCCTCAACCCAATCAATCAGGATTGATTTTAAACATGGATACTGCAATGAAATAAGACTCACAAATCATTTATATTGATTTAATATACAGATGTTTCTTGCTTAATAGCTACTTGTTCACAGTGACCATTCAAACTTATGAGGCATTGAAAAAATTGACTCATATATGTACCTCCCCATTTGCAAACATCTTTGGCCAGTTCCAACAAGCAAAGTCAATGAGAAAGCCAGCAGAAAGTTGTAAATGACAAGTGATATCCTTGCTTAATGATGGGAAGTAGGACTGCCAGAATTTCCACTGCTAAGTAGTGTGATTACATGACTTCATTCTTTAGGACATCGTTTAGCAATGGAAATTCCAGTTCCAATTAAGGAACTTGTTAACTGAGGATTATCTCTATGTTCTTTCTATTTTAGTCATTCTTAATTAACTGAACAAATTATTCAGCTAAATTATTTTATCATAAGGAAGGCCAGAAAATGTCATGGTGCTGATGATTCAAAATATCAATCTATCTCCAGTTCAAGCTTTACTGTTTGCCAGCTATTCCATTCTAGCAAATTACAAACTTCAACATAATATCATGTGTTCAAAGTATTCAAAGAAAGAAAATAACTGTCATTAGAATGTTAAACAGATATTACTTACCATCTGACCAACTGCAACTCTTTCCAGAGCCTTTAAAAAGAAATTAAGGTATTTATTCATTTAGATAAACTTTATAAATAGACCATGAAATAAAAAATATTTTATCAAACTATATATTAAAATGCTTCTTTAAAGATGTAATCACTTCATATTTAAAAATATAATATTTGTGTTTGTAATATATATATTACACACACACACACACACACACACACACAAAATACTTTCTTCTGCAAAAAGCCAAGATACTAAGCTGTTTATTTTATACGTAATATTTTTTTCCAAACCTAGTGAACAATTAATTTTAGTCTCTCGTTTTGCTAATTCATATTCAGTAAAGTCAAGTACAGTACATACATTTGGAAGATATGACCTTAAAATGATAATATAGTTTGAAATGTGCAATAATGAAATAAACATTATTAGATTAAAGCAGGATACCAATTCACTTCTGCAAAATTACAAAATAATGTATCAATGTCTCCTCATTAATATATCAACTTAATAAAATAGAACATCAATCCACAATCTCTATGCTAATATTAGATACTATCTCTGCAGGTCTCTACCTTACTGACTCTAATTCTAACTCTAAATTCATTTCATTCAATTATTATGCTTTTTCACACTTGAAACATAGAACACTCTGTTAGGAAGTTTCTTTTGGGCTTTAGTAACAAACGCTACAAACCAGGGCTGTGCAAGATTTTCAAATGATTCTGAAGAATTGCTTTAAATTCTATACAACTGTAAACTCAAAATTCTCTACTGGTAACAAAAGCAGTTGCACTGTTTTCAGGATTTTGTGCAATCCAGAAAAATATATTTATTATTTATTTCTTAAGGTTTCCATGCAGCTTCATTACTGCAATTAGGGGAAATATTTATTTATTATTCATTTTAAACTAGTTCTGAGCAGTTCTCAAGGGGGAAAAAAGCATTAGGAACAAATAAAACTGAAGCAAGCAGTAAGAAACCAAAACAGCCAGTAATATAGCTTTATCTTAACTGGCACTTTTAAAAGAAGTCAGGTCATTAAATCGACTCTTAAAAAGTACCAGCATCCTTTTTCTATTTCACACTTCTGTTGATTTTTTTTTAAAAAAATCAGAAGTTGATGGATGAACAAAATTAAGACCCTGGGGGTTTTAGCATTTTGCACTTAACTTTTGATCCAAACCAGATTGTGTCAGCTTTTCACATGGAAGGAATATCCAAACTAGTATAATGTGAATAGGAACTTTTTCCTCTGTACATAACATGTGGTATATACAGTTATAAAATTCCCTACTTGTTTTACTAGATTCTGATTGGCATCCACACATTTGCTTGAAAAATAGCAACATTCCACAGTTGCTAATTGCCTGATTTATTTCACATCTTACTCTTCTTATATGCATATATTCACTTTTATTATGCTTTTGTTTCCAAGTTTCCTTTGATTTCCCATTCTCGCAATTACATATAAAATATGAACAATGATCACTGAATGAATGTCAATATCATTCAAATACTTTTACTGACAAATCTCATGAGATTATATTTTTACTTTCTGCATCTTGCCAGTTAAAAACTTTACATAAACTGTTAAAATTCATACAGCTTTTACTCTTTAAAAAAATCTAACACATAATTATACAATTTTAAAGCAACTTCCTCCTTCCTATTTTCTCTACTGCGCCACATTCATAGTTAGAGATATGATACACATTGAAGAAAGGCAGAATAATATCCTACTGTTTAAAATGGCAGAACAATGGTCCTAAAATATTTGTTAAGATATTGAGAGGCCAAAATGAATAGAATTCAGTTATTGTCCCCCCCTCCCACACAAATCCCTCTATGTAATCATACACAATGGTACATCAGTAAAAAAATAAACTTTTTATAAGTCCAGCAAGTGTTATTAAGAAGATATAATTTAGCCATTAGACAATTTGCAATTTGTTGGCTACACAGAGATAAAATATTTACATTGAATGGGCAAAGATATTGATAGTCTTTCCAAAAAGGATAGCTTTTAATTATCTTCCCAATTTTAAAATCTGAGCATAGTGTTCAAAACAAAAATAGAAAAAGTCAAAGAAACAACAAACAGGAATGCATATGAATATCCAGTCAGGAGATCCAGATAATCTCTCTTCAGCCATCTTCTGAAATGAATACATGCTAAGACTTAAGAACTATTTAGGACTGTTTCCCAAAATATGGTTCACAGCCTGGTTTCAGTGCTTGTAAAAAAAAAAAATCTGGTCCTTAGAAAATATATCTACAACTGCTCTCTTTCTCTCCAACCCGAGTGCTGCAGCCACAATCTTGCAAGCACTCTCTTCAGAGAAAAGGAACTTTTGGACAGAGTTGGCTTAAAGCTTAAAACCATGTTTTATGCATATATAAAAACCTACTGGCGATTTTCTGCATGTGTAATATGGTAACAAAGTCAACAGAAGAGCTGTAGTCCCTAACTATAACTATTTGGGGAAAGTTATTTTAGGAGATAATTAGTAGGTATCTTAGCCAATCAAAATAACTTGACTGTATTTAAAATTCTATGGGTATGATTTTTGCCTTCTTTATTACATTTTCCTTTTTTCTCAATATATTATTTTATATATCTTTAGCTTTGGCTTAGTTAGTTAAATAAGGAGATTTCTCATTAAAATACTACCCACATGAAAGACTGCATAAATTAGCAGCTTCTCTTGTATTTCAGAATTGCCACATGGCTTATTATACATTTTAGGATTTTTGGTTATTCAAAGGCAAGTTCCTTTCTGTTCTCAGGTAGACTGAAGGAGATGTCCTTGTTGGAAGCAATATTTCAATCAAACAGAATACTTTAACTAATGACTACCAATGATAATTATGAGATACTTTTAGAAGTCTGCCAGTGTGATTTTAAACCAACCCTAATTCTAGCTATAAAAATGTATAACTGAAATAGCAATAGTACTTCGACTTATATACCTCTCCATAGTGCTTTACAGCACTCTCTGAGAAGTTTACAAAGTCAGCATATGTCCCCCAGAAATCTGGGCCCTAATTTAACTGAATTCGGAAGGATGGCTGGCTGAAATTAGGATTAAATTCCAAGCTGTGGGCAGAGTTTAGAAAATTCAGTTTCTATCAATATAAATATTAGGTGATGTAAATTTTTTCACAAATGAAGTATTTTTTAAATACATTTTCTTTGGCCATGTTCTTCCCTTCAATTATCCATGTAGACATATGCTAAGAAGATCTGGGATGGTCTCAAGGCAACTACATTGATCCTTTGAGCAGTATAGATGCTTCACAACTTTGAAAATGGATGTGTGTGTGTGTGTGTGTGTGTGTGTGTGTGTTTAATTTTCTTTACTGAATGATTTGCAGTCCTTCCTGGTAAATATTTGCCAAATATGGCACTGTCTATGTCAAACAGAGATATCTTACCTAGCTTGGGAAAACCTCCGAATTTTAAAGATGCTAAGAATAAAAAAAGAAAAAAAGAAAAAACTCTAGAAAAGGATATCCTTTAAGAAAAACTAAGAACACTGAGATATGTAGAAACTGAGAACAGAGAACATGAATAAAAAAAACTTTTACCAGATCCATAGAATTACTTTAAAAAATAAGTAAATTTTGTGAAAAAATTTACATCACCTAATATTTATATTGATAGAAACTGAATTTTCTAAACTCTGCCCACAGCTTGGAATTTAATCCTAATTT